CCCCCCCCCCTTCCTAATCATGAAAGCTTTCCAAAATTGAGTTCCCTTTCAACAGGTCTTCAAGCAAAGGCCGGATGACCACTTCTCAGGAATGCTTTCTTCAGAATGAATAAGAAAAGATGCTTCTGACTCTGACATTCTATTTCCATACCCAATTTAAAATTTCTTCCTCCTTCCCTGCTTTAAAGTCTTTACTTCATATCATAAGTGGTGGGGTGGGACCTGAGATGTTATGTTTAGTTACTAAGAACAGATTCAACTGGAGAACATTTTCCAATACAACAGGGTGGAAAGGGAGTTGGGAGGAGAGAGTCCTACCCTTTTCAACCTCATAGCAGCTCTGCTCCTATCATTTTATTTTTTGCTGTAATATTATAATTGGTATAAATAAAAGACTGGGTTTATGTTCCACCAATTCTTTTTAATTTTTCACAGTCATAATACATAGTTGATGTATTTGATGACCAGTTATAATTTAGTCCATGGCATGATGAGCCTAATTTTTTTTTAAGCAAGAGTACCATATGGTTAATTCCAAGTGTTGCTATTTGAGAATGGGTCACTGCCTTAGAGAAATTGCTAATTTTGCCAATAAATGGAAGGATGAATACAAAAAGGCATATTGTCTGAATTGCTAAACATAGCTTTGGATCAGAAGTTTTGCTGGCCTTCCCACAAAGCCAGCCTGAATAAACCATAGCGGGTGATTTGAACCTGGTGTCCATTTGGTGAACTGTACTATTCTCTTACAGACTACAGTGGGCAGTACGTAACATTCCTGTCACTGTTACTGCAGCCTCCGTTAATTGTAACGAAACAGAAAGAGTTTAAAGAGATCTGGTTCCCAAGCTTGCTAATGAGCATAAGGCTCTCTTTACCCTTAATGAACCAAAATTGGTGTGTGGATTTTTCCCCCTCTTCTTTTTTACACGGGGGTGAGTGGTGGGGAAAAGGAGGGAGGGCTGCAAGGGTTCACACAACCAAACAACGGCTTTACAGTGAATGGAGTGTGCAGCTGTGCCATCTGAAGCTGTCCTGAGCTGGAGACGATTGTGCTGTGGAAGTGCAGCCCTGTGAGCGTGGGGCTGAGTCCTTTACTTCTGCTCCACTGGCCTGTCAGCTCATGACAATGACGAGCTCCTGATGGGAGAGTTTTAGGAAGGGAGAGCTTTAGGCAGGGCAACTTGCCTCCAGCAATCACTTCTTGTAATGCGCACAGACAGGAAGGCATCAAGTGTCATTTTGGTTATGGGGGAAGGTGGGTACTTTCACATATGCACAGCGGTATGCTTCCTATCTTAAAATCACAGATCCTCTGAATGCCAAGTTTCCTGATCAGCTAAGGAAAGAAAGAAAGAAAAAGAAAGAAAGAAAGAGGTTTTGACTGATCCCCCTTTCAACTTCTACCTATCAGGGTTGGAGGACAGGGGGAACAAACTGTGAAAGATGTTTCTGTTTTCCCAAGTGGTCATTGTGAAACTCCGTGTAGTTTATTCAGGTTCAATATTTTGAAAGTTGGCATTGCTAGTTATAACTTCAACCACTGATGTGTGTGTATTGGTTTTTATGTCTGGGTACATTAAGGAAAATATCTGCCTTTCCATTTAATTCAGCCACCTGTGCTGCACTGTTGAATAAAATATCATTAAAACATATATGTGCTAATATGAATGTTCATAATGATAAACAATAAACATAAAGGGTTCTGAAATGATCTGTAATAGGTTGGCTCATTTCTCCAATTCTGAATTTTTAGCCAAAGTGTTAAGGGTGTTCAACCTAGTTTGTATTATGAATGGATTTTTTTTTGGCTGTATGGTGAAACCTATGGACCCCTTTTTAGAGGAATGTTTTAAAGTTCATAAAATAAAACACATAGGATCACAAAGGAAACCCATTATATTGAACTATGGTTAACAATATATTTTTCTAGAAAAGTTCATGGGTCTCAGGTTAAGAAGTCATTTTTTAAAGGAAACCCTTTTATAATCCTTTTATGAGTTTTAATTGCTCATCTATTTGGGCTTTACTATTTAAATATTCAAATTGTTAAGAAATTACTGGTTTCTGAGGGAAAGGGAAAGTGTCATAGAGAGATACCATCATTAAGTTAAGTGTATTTTTCCCCCATTTAACCAAATAGGAAGAGAAGCAAAAGCATGGATGTATCTGCTAAATCAAAACTTCAGGCAATTCTAAAACAGGGTCATTTGAAAGTATTGTGAGAAGCAGCAAAAGTTGACAACCCCCAACCCTTGTGACTGATCCCTCGTGCTTTCTCTTGCCTAATCGAATTTTACATCGTGTTTTCCAGATAGCTGATCAGCTTCCCTGGATTTTGCTGACGACACAGGAAAGCTTTGCTTGAAGATGGAAACATTGGAGTCGGAACTGACCTGCCCTATCTGTCTGGAGCTGTTTGAAGACCCACTACTGCTGCCCTGTGCCCACAGCCTGTGTTTCAACTGCGCCCATCGCATCCTCGTCTCCCACTGCGCCACCAACGAATCTGTGGAATCCATCACTGCCTTCCAGTGCCCTACTTGTCGTTATGTTATCACCCTCAGCCAGAGAGGTCTAGAGGGACTCAAGCGTAACGTCACCCTGCAGAACATCATCGACAGGTTCCAGAAGGCTTCTGTCAGTGGGCCCAATTCTCCCAGTGAGACCCGCCGAGAGCGGGCCTTCGATAGCAACGCCATGACCTCCAGCGAGAAAGTTCTCTGTCAGTTCTGTGACCAGGACCCTGCCCAGGATGCTGTGAAAACCTGTGTCACTTGTGAAGTCTCCTACTGTGAGGAGTGCCTGAAAGCAACTCACCCGAATAAGAAGCCCTTCACAGGCCACCGTCTCATCGAGCCAATTCCAGACTCTCACATCCGAGGCCTGATGTGCCTAGAGCATGAGGATGAGAAGGTGAATATGTACTGTGTGACAGACGACCAACTAATCTGTGCCTTATGTAAACTGGTTGGGCGACACCGGGATCATCAGGTGGCAGCTTTGAGTGAGCGCTATGACAAGTTGAAGGTTAGTGCCTCTCTCCCATCGGGAGCCAGAAATGTCATGGGAACAAAACCCTTTATGCCCTATTTCGTTGGCAGGCAGGTAAAGGGTTTCTCCTCACCTGTGTTATCTGATTGGGATTAGCATGTTTTTGGCACTTTCTACATGTTACACAAGAATGGATCTTGTAGGAAGTAGACTACTGCTTGTTATTTCCGTGTTTGTGAATGTGTAGGTGATTTCTAGAATTTTGGATGTGTCAAACTTTTATTTTTGGTTTTATTTTTCTTCTTTTGTTTTGTTTTTAATGTAAGACCATGGTAGATATAGATAAAGAGATAAAAATCTAGCCTTGGGACATTTACTTCATTCAGAGAAGTTTTTTTTTTTTTTTCCATCCTTACTGTACACCTGGGAAAAATCCTGTCATTTCAGGAGAAAAAACACAGGATTCTGATGCTCACAGAACCTCTCATTCTATGTTCAAATGACATTTGGTTATATTCCTTAAAACTAGACTTCTTGAGTTTTACTGCCCAAGTATCTTGAGGTTGGATCTTAATTTAATCATGTAATAAGTCAGAAAATGTTTGAGCTGTAGGTGCTACATCAGTTTACCTCACCCCAAACACCAGCTCTATACCTAGATTCTAAGTTCCTAAATTGGAATAGAGTACTTTTGAGTAGAAAGACGAAGCAAGGCTCGCCCTCTAAGGTCTGTTGATCTTTCAGGGGAATGCAGGTATAATTATTTAAAAGTACTATTACAGCTGAGATATTAAGACTATGAAGATTAAAAAAAAACAATACTTTATCTCCACTGGCTAATTTTAGATGGGAAGGCATCAATTAAAAGGAAAGGAACTGCATATTAAAAACTTTAAGTAAATATACATTGAAGCTCTTCCTCTCAGGAAAAACATATACTGTGCTGTTGATCAAACACAATAAATCATCTGGTTGTATTATATATTATAAGTTGGAGAAAAACCTTCCCCTCTAACTTGGCTGCCACAAAGCTCATCTTTAGCAGCAAAGGATAGATATGTTTACGGGTCCGAGGTAGTTTATTTCTTGATAACAGGATTAAATGAATCACACCTTCATGACTTACTGAAGGGAATTTTATGTATGATGGAGTCAGTCCCTTCATCCAAGATCCCACAAAGATCAAGAGTTTCACCTGTGTAACATGCTACACCTGAAAACTGAAGAGGGAAAGTCATCAATGTGCTCTCAGACTACTCAGTGGAAAATAAATATTAAGGACTTTATGAATAAATATAAGGAAACAGATAGTAAGTATTACTTAGAGGAGTGGATAGAGGTGGAACCAAGGAGATATGTTGGCCTTTATAACAGGTATTACAAATATGAATGCTGCAGAATTCTTTTAATTAACATTGCTTTGTAAAAACAGCTTTGGAAAACTGACACTGTCAGTTGTTGTTTTTTAAAATTTTTTTCTAACAAAGTCCCTCCGACTTTCCCCCAAGGTGGTAGTTTGCAAGGTTAGAATTAGGGAGGTTCCAAAGCATAAATATTTTGAGTCATGATATACCAAACTGCATTTTCATGTTTTCCAAAATGATCTACTAATTGGATGATGTGGCATTGTTTTTTAATGAACTTAAATTTTAAAATTATGAGCAAACTTTCATTTAGCCACTTTTGGACTTGATACTTAGCCCTGGTTGTCACTGTTGTTAATTATTTAAATCATATCTCCTCCTTTATTAGTCACAAGACAGAAGTTGCCATTATGATCTACTTCTTTAAGTGACTCCTTAAATTGAGAGTTCTGGTGCACTGGTTTTATCAAGACAGTGAATTTAGCAGTAACTATAGTCAAACCACAGAACCTGAAAGTTAATAATAGAGATCGATTTTTTTTCTATCCATTATTTTGTTTCAGAAATGTAAGCGTATACATTAACAGCTAATGTGAGACACTGTTCCCACCCCCATCCCCCTAAAAAAATAAGCTGTAACACTGGAATAAATGTGTAATCAAACAACTAATGTTCCGGGAGCATTTACATTTGTCCTCATCTGTTTTTTGGGTTTTTTTTAGGATTTTAAAAACATATGCTGAGGGTAGCTAACCTATATGTCACACTTTTTAAGGCCAGGAATTAGACAGCAATATGAGCATGTATGTTTCCTTTTACTTTATTAAAATACTTTGAATATAACTAGTACATGAAAGTTTTCTACAAAACACAATAATTACTACATAGATACACTCTCATAATGTGTAATAGGAAGCTATTGTATGCTTTGGAGGGACTAAACCATATGGATAAATAACTAAACAGTGAATTTTGGAGGATTCTCACTTTGATCCAATAAAGCAAGAATGTAGCCCACATCTGGTTTTCATGCTTTAGCACCTAACAATACACAGACAAGCCATTTTGGGGAGTGGGGGTGGGCACAATAGTAGGGCAGAAGGAGGGGTGATAGTGCTTGTAGGAATAAGAAGGGGAATTTCTTTTTAATTCACTTGGATCCTTAGGGACTTATACAATTTCTCTGGACATTTGTTCTTCTCTCTGGTTATTAACAATAGGCAAATATGAAGAGGAAAAGGAATCCATTAATAAAATTTTGTTCTGTTAGGAGATTATTCTTTTTTCTTCTTGTTATGACTAAACTTTTGAGAAAGCAATATTTAATAAGTATATTTCTAGACATTAGTATGCAATTGGAATAAAAAGGCACATGATATTTATATTGGGAATATTTTTCTGTATGTTAAAGAGATATCATACACTCATACACATACACTAAAATCAGACATGTAGAATCCATGCAAAGAAAACCTCTTTTCATTCTGCTTGGCATAAAATTACTTCAACCAACATAATGCTTTCAGAGAATATTGCATTGGAAAGCAACCACAAAATACCAAAGTAAGGAGAAAATTTAGTGTACCTTTCATGAAAACAGTTGTAAGCCTATTAAGACAGAAGTCCTTCTGGCAAATGCTATGCTGACTAAATAGAGCATATTCAAAGGTACATTTCCTCTTTCCATTCATTTGGAGATGAAGAAACCTTTATATCCGCCACACTAGAAGGAAAAGTACAGTGTGTGCTAGATAGCTTGTGTCCCAGATAACATAGTAGAAATTTCAATATTATGAATTCCGGAGTGAGATATTTCTCTGACCTTCAACATCAAGTTAGACTTTCAATTTAGTTACAGTTTAAGCTGCAGATAATTATTTGGTTGCCCTGGTTATGAACATTGATTGTAAGGAATTCATGTACATGTAGCATACTTCAATGACATTGTAGTTATCAATGGTTCAATATAATTTCTAAAAATTGGTTTCCATCCCATATCCTATATTTTACCTACTTGGGCTAGTTACCCACGTATGAAATCACTTGTTTTAATGCTTTCTGTAATGGTAAATCTTGTACACTTAGGTGTGAGTAATGAATGCTAAGCTGTAAGATTTATAGTTTTAAAGGGGAAAAAAAGTTGTTCCTTTAAAAAAATTATGTCATTGCAATATAGGGAAGTTTTAGGCAGGATAGACTCATTATCTCATTTAGTACAAAGGCATCCAGGAAGAGGAAATACATGTTTTAGTTTAATTCAACAAAAATTTTTTTAGAGTCCGCTGTATGTAAGGCACAGTGCTAGGTCCTTGGGAATATTGTTGTAACAAGGGAAAAACTACAAAGTATTTGCCCCTAAAGAATTTACCATTTGGTGGGGTTACGGAGTGAAAGATGGTATAATCAAATAGCAATGACACAAGTTAGAAATATTAAGTGAATTTTAGAAGATGGTATTTTGACATAGCCAGACAGCATAAAGATGAGGCAAAATGACCAGTGTTTATGTAAGGTTATTGGGCATTTCAGGTGAAAGTTTCTTTGAAAGGATAGGACTTCCAGAAGCTTACTGGAATCTGTCGATTAACTCATTGGAATATTTACTTCCTCCATTGCTGTTGATTACAACCCATCCATTCCATCTTGTACGAAAATGCAAGTTCATAATTTGGATGGAGAAGCTTCCTCTCCTCTCATCCTTCTTTCTATTATTATATATTCTAGTTGGAAATAATACTTATGAATGAATATAAACGAGGCAAATGTAAAGGGAAAAATTCATGTTATTCAGGCATGCACATTACTGAATATTGTTGGAAATAGAAAGAAAGGTGATAGGAATGGAAAGGAGTTAAACCAGACAAGAAATGCTGTTATTCCTAAGGATATTACATATGTGTTGGTAGTAAAGAAACATATCTAGGAGGAAGGTGTCCAAGGGGCAACAAGGTATTTAGCTCCAGTTAGGCAACTAGCTTTCAGCTGCTGATCGAATGTCTTGTTTAGCCCCCATGGACAAAGGAAGGGTGGAGCTGAAAGAGCACCTTATTAGGCCTTTTCACTTTATTGATCTAGAAATTAAGGCCCAGAGAGGGCTAAATGATTTGATAATTATCAGGCAGCTGGAACTAGAACCCAGGTCCCCTGACTTCCAATACAATACAATTTCCATAATACTCAGTAACGGCCTGGAGGAAACTTCAGAGATTTTCTGGCAAGTGAGTTCCTTATAGCCCTAGAACCACAATCTAGATTCCATGGTCATTCACTTACTGTTGAGATTCTTATTCAGCCCTGCTTTAGTTAGGTACATGCATCCACTCCTACTCCTTGTTCCCAGCCTTACTGCTGCTATTTTGTGTAGGGGTTTGCATTTATAAAGGAAACTTAACTTTCTGTCCTATGTGAGGTTTCCAGAATTCCTCTGTAGGGTTTCTCCTTATGGAGAAATTAACATACTTCCCCAACTAGGAGGAACTTCAAAGGTCATTTTAGTCTAATCCTTCTATTAATAGGAATCTTATCTACAAAAATGTTTAATAATTCCAAGTTAGTAGA